GCATGTGTGGGGTGTGTTGCTCATGTCCCTGGTGAATGGGAACCGTTGCGAATCGGACGAGTAATGTCAGAAAAGGAATCACTTGGCTACTTGCACTCAAGATCCAGGGCCGGCCCTCAGCTCTGGATTTTAGGTTTTTTTGAGAAAATAAACAGGGGCACTTTCACTTCCCAAATATAAATTTAACTGCTCTTGCTCGCAACCAAAGAAGAAGTGGGGTGTCAGGAAGCTTCAGCTGCACGGCTGAACTCTGACGAAAAGTTGTCCACCCGGTCTGAAATGTCTCGTCTGTATTCCGGGAATGAAACGTTGGAGTTTTGTGCTTTTGTTTACAACAGCTTAAACTTTCTTCCCTTCAAAGGGGGAACTTTCCATATAGGGGGTGAGGGGGGGTGTCCTTGTGTTCATTAAGAATAGCCTCTCCAAAGAGATACCCTCCTCAAGGTTTGTTGGCTGGCTGATGTGCAAGATCTGGAGTATCCCAGGCTGGACAAGGTTACTTCAGTCTTCCATTCTTCCATTCTTCCTTCCTTCCCTCCCTCCCTCCCTCCCTCCCTCCTTCCTTCCTTCCTTCCTTCCTTCCTTCCTTCCTTCCTTCCTTCCTTCCTTCCCTCCCTCCCTCCCTCCTTCCTTCCTTCCTTCCTTCCTTCCTTCCCTCCCTCTTTTCCTTCCTTCCTTCCATCTTTTCCGCCCTCCCTCCCTCTCTCCCTTCCTTCCTTCCTTCCTTCCTTCCTCCCTCTCTCCCTTTTTTCCTCCCTCCCTCCCTCCATTCTGATTTTGCCTTCCCCTTCAGGGACACAGGCAGAACAATGACATCCTTCTACCACAGGTCCAACCTCTCGTTGCCACTTGTGAAACATCCCCCCCCCCACACACACAAGTAAGGCGACAGACCCAGCTGGTCCAAACCTCACACAGACCCTCTCGAGCACGGATCCTACTTCTGTCTGATCCTTCAGAGTGACATTCTTTTTCTCTCCTTTAGTGACATTGAAACCCAGGGAGAATTTTGGGAGTTGAAGTCCACACATCGTAAAGTTGCCAAGGTTGAGAAACACTGTTAGATGGTTGTGTTCAGAACACAGGAAGGCCGAATTTTACTTGGTGGGCGACTTATTTGAACAGCAGCCTTCTTTCTTCCTTGTTACGAAAAGCAGATAGCCAGGATTTGGTTGGCTGCCCAAACCTCCCTTCTTTTCATTCTCCTTTTTCAAAGCCTGCATGAGATAAACTGGGGGTGTCATTTCCTGACATTTTACTCACTTCTTCCGTCAGCTTCATTTTGCTACGCTGGCCGGTTTCCGGTAAAGGAGGAGCTTGTGAAGACTTCAGCAGGCTTATGAATGGTTCCCCCAAACTTATCAGTCCTCCAGAAGGGGCCACCCCCAAAACTGAGCATCCCAAATTTTCGTCTTTACACCAACGATCGGAAAGACCAGACAGACGTTGTGCAGAAAGAGACTTTTGTGCTCAGGATCATGTCGTCTTTCTTTCCAGATCTTGTGAGACCCTGTGTAGTTAGGACTCCTCTGGACGCAATCTTTTCCTGCAAAATTAAGATTACTTTGTACAATAATCCTGTTGGGGGGGGAAACAGTAAACTCTTCGCTGTTGCCACCTTTCAAAGCCCTGCACAGGTGAACTCCTGGCTTTGGCCCCGCTCAGCCCACCCGGATAACTTCACATCTGCAGTTGGGGAAACGGTGCCAGGAGGTTTCCATGACACTCAGGCACTTGAGACAATGTCGTGTCATCCCTGAAGTGGCACTCAAATCAGAGCCTGCCAGAACAAGTGTGATAAAACCCATGTATGTTGTAGCTACTTAAAAACTCCCGTTGTGGTGGGTGAAAGTGAAGGCAGTGGGGGGGGGAGTATTTTGCAAAAGAGAAGGAGAGAGGAGAGAGGGGGGGAGATGGAGGCCAGCAAGAACTTGAAGCTGATCAGACGGGATGAAGAACTAAGCTTTCTTTAAAAAACTCCAAGTATCCGGCTGGCATCTTCACAAATGCTTTGATTCCTTCTCTTAAAGGGCCGAATAACAATTTTGTACATGTTTTGATCATGTGGCTATCCCCAGTTTGCAGGGAACTGGGGAAATTGAAAGACCACAGCAATTTAGCTAAGCAAACGCTGACAGAATCATCTCTCTGCTTCAATTTTTCTATATTTCTGTCTGATGCACAAGTATTCGCTCTATTTTCCTTGTGCTTAAGGGTATTAATTCCTAGAGCCGTTCTCTTTATTTGCACCATACAAGTAGTCCTTGACTTAAAAACAGCTCATTTGGTGACTGTTCAAAGCTACAACGGTACTGAAAAAAGTGGCAAGAAAGGTCATAAAACGGGGCAAAACTCATTTAACAACTGTCTTGCTTAGCAACAGAAATTCTGGGCTCAAATGTCGTCGTAAGTCGAGGACTTCCTATACATTCCCTTCTAGGGTTCAACCCCAAACATAGCATCACAGCACACAAAGAATTCTTCCATTCACATCCCCAATCTGGCCTCGCAACATTTCTTTTACATTTACCCATGAATGTATCAAACAACCAAGGAGACATTGAATCTCTCGCCTTACTCTCTGCTCGGGACAGGTTTCTGCTAAGCCATCCCTTTAGCTTCACGCCTGCATTATTTCTATCATCACAGCTTCCAGCAGCCAACATTCAACACACACACACCGTGGATGCAAAGCCTTCCATAATTCATCGTGTCTCTAAAGCCTCAAATGGGCCGTCCTTTTTGATAAGCCATGGTTTGCTGGATAAACAACAGATGGCTGGCTCTGCGGCCCCTGTCGTTGGTTAACCCACGTTTGTGGCTAGGACAATATAGAAGCTGAGACCCAGTCAATTTTGCCTCGTTGTGGCATCGATCCAAATAAAGCAGCAGTCCTGGGGGGTAAAAAAAAATAGCTGTTAATAATTTGCAAAGAAATGCGGTGGGTTCTGTAAGATAACCAGCTGACGGTGGGGAGGGTTTTTTGCTGGAATGGATGCTGGCACCGGCGATGATTTCTCTGCTTATAGTTTCATTTATTTGTAACAACCACAGGGCCGGTGTGAGGCTGCTTAGCATCACCTCCCGGGCGCTTATGACCACAGCTGCATCAACAGTGAATATATTTTCTTTGGCCCTCGGTGATCTTCCTTGCACTCCAGTCACTTATCTTCATGACTCCTTCTTCTCCTCTGTGTAAATGCCAACAGGGTGCTTGCTGCAAGAGTTAGTTGCTGGCCTGTTTTATTTGGGGGAGGGTTCCTGCACCTGTACATAGATAGACCAGACTGTCAGAGCGATGCCAGGAAGAATTGGCAGTGAGACACAATTTAAGAGGAAGTTCTAATGTTCTGATATCTTTCTCACCTTCCCTACTACCCCTTCTTCTTAGTATCATGATTATGATTATTGTTACTCTGTCGCTTTGCATGTGCACTAAGAGCTTCTGCACCAGAGATAAATTCCTTGTGCGTCTAATCACACTTGGCCAATAATTTCTCTTCTCTTCTCTTCTCTTCTCTTCTCTTCTCCTCTCCTCTCCTCTCCTCTCCTCTCCTCTCCTCTCCTCTCCTCTCTTCTCTTCTCTTCTCTTCTCTTCTCTCTTCCCTTCCCTTCCCTTCCCTTCCCTTCCCTTCCTCTATTCTATTCTATTCTATTCTATTCTATTCCATTCCATTCCATTCCATTCCATTCTATATTACAATATCTGTTCTGTTCTGTTCTATTCTATTCTATTCATTCTCTTATTCTATTCTATTTACTCTACTCTACTCTACTCTACTCTACTCTACTCTACTCTACTCTATTCCTTTTTTCTATTCTATTCTATTCTATTCTATTCTATTCTATTCTATTCTATTCTATTCTATTCTATTCTATTCTATTCTATTCTATTCTCCATTGCTTCTATTCTATTCTATTCTATTCTATTCTATTCCATTCTATATTACAATATCTGTTCTGTTCTGTTCTATTCTATTCTATTCATTCTCTTATTCTATTCTATTCTATTTACTCTACTCTACTCTACTCTACTCTATTCTATTCCTTTTTTCTATTCTATTCTATTCTCCATTGCTTCTATTCTATTCTATTCTATTCTATTCTATTCTATTCTATTCTATTCTATTCTATTCCATTCCATTCCTTCTACTCTGTTCTTGATAGCTTGATGTTTTCTGAACTCTGTGAAGGAATTCCTTCTCTCTTCCTGTTGCTCCCGCTTTCTGGGCAGTGCAGAATTAGGACACAAACGGGCAGCCTTGTTGTGTGTTGCCCTCTGAACAAAGGGTTGGAAGCCATCCTTCAAAGACTATCTTCATTCACAAAACCTGGATCTCTAAGCTATCATAGCTTGTGGCCTCAATCTCCTGGCTTTGCATGCCACTGGTCCAAGATGTTCACCATGTTCTTTTGAGGCATCCGTTGATTTTCTAGGTTGTCTTTGTAAGCCTCCTGCTTACAAAGGCAACCTAGGTTAGCCTTTTTCCTCCGTTAAGTGAAAAGCAAAAAAAAAAAAAGGCTGTTTCTGAAAAAAGAGGCATGCGGTTGCTGTTTGGCGATGCAACTTTGAGAATATGGTCTCTAAAAAGTGCACTTCAGATTACAGTTGAGAAACCGGTCGTAAAAAATTAATGAAGGGCCGTCCTTAATTGCAATCTAAAAATACTCGTTCAAAGGGAGAGAAAGAAAAAAAAAACCCACATGGAAATGGTGCCTTTTATTTTTCAAAAGGAAAGAGGAGGTGGGTGTTGAACTTTGGAAGGAGATGGTTCTTGGCTGTGAGGTAAAGCGTCAGGGCTTCATGGGATGAAAATGCGTAGAATCCATGCAAGTTTATGCCCTGCTCAAACTTTGCTCAGTTGCCGCCCTTCAACTGGCAGCTTTCAAATTTGTGGGGGTTCATAAGCCTCCTTCTGGATAAGACGTGGGATCTTTCCTGGACCCAAACTGACCTTCCGTGTCTCTCCATCTTCTTTTAGGGGGAGAAGCATAGAAAAATGGACGAGTGTCTTGAAACCCTGAAGGATGAAGAGGAGGCGCTATGGGAGAACGTCGAATGCAATCGTCATATGTTGACCCGTTACATCAACCCCGCCAAGCTGACCCCGTATCTGCGCCAGTGCAAAGTCCTGGATGAACAGGATGAGGACGAGGTCCTCAACTCCCCGATGCTCCTCTCCAAAATTAACCGAGCTGGTAAGACATAGGAGCCGTGGCAGCCCCCAATCAGAAATGATGACAAGACCGTTGTGTCACTACTTTCCAAGAAAGATTGATCTGCTGATTTTGGGTGGGCTTAGAGCTGTTGATGATCAAAGGTCTCTGGGAAAGAGTCCTTCTGATCCTATGAGGTCAGGGCTGGGCAATATTAAAAAGGAAAGGTCGAGGGTCAAAAAGGCAGTTTATGCAGAATCTATTGAAAACATTGGAGAACTGTAGGCATTGTCTAACAAATATTTATAGATCAGTCAATCAGAATAGAGTTGGAAAGGACCTTTGGGGTCTTCTAGTCCAGCCCCCTGTTCAAGCAGGAGAACCTATATCATTTCAGACAAGTGATTGTCCAACCTCTTCTTTAAAACCTGCAGTGATGAAGCGCCTACAACTTCTGAAGGCCAGCTGTTCCACTGGTTAATTGTGCTCACTGTTAGGAAATTTCTCCTTATTTTTAGGTTGGATCTGTCCTTAACAAGCTTCCAACCATTACTTCTTGTCTTGCTTTCTGGTGCTTTGGAAAATAAATTGCCCTGTCCATGGGAAGGACTGGAATTCACAGCCCCCTGGTTTGTAGCCTAGTGCCTTTGACCACTATCAATAGCTCAGGGTTGAACTGTGGGGTCCTCCTTGGTGCTTTCTGAGCTTGCTTCTTTTCTTGAAGATGTTTCATGACCCAAGTAGGCAACATCATCAGTGCTAGAAGGGATAATAAACAGAGAGCAAGCCCCACTCCCTTCTAGCACTGCTGATGTTACCTAGTTGGGTCATGACATGTCTGCGAGAAAACAACCAAGCTCAGAAAGCATCAAGGACCCCACATTCGTCCTCCTCCTCCTCCTCCTTCTCCTCCTCCCTGCAAATCCCACTCCCTTCTACCACTCAGGATGTTACTTATTTGGGCAATGAAATATCTGCAAGACAAGAGCACCAAGTAACCACTCTACCAGACCAGTTATCTCCAGAAATATTAGCAGTACAATGTATAAAGTTGTAATCTTAACCAACCAGAAATCAAGTTGGAGAGATTGAGCTACACGGAGTAAGAGTTTCAGACTGCTGCACCAGCCTTCCTTGGAGATACGGTACTTACTCACTCTTTAGCTAAGCCTTTAAAGGTCAATTAGTTTATCATTCAGGTTTTATTACAATTGCCTTTATTTTATCCTTGGAAACTGTAAAATTCATCTTAAATGTTAATTTTTAGCAGAAGGACAGCATATCAATTCGGTGTTTAAACAAATGGTATTAAATTCAGGAAGGTTCATATGCAGAGCGTCAGTTTTGCTAAATGTTATGCATAAGCCTTGTTCTGTCTTGCCTTGATATTCTGCAGAATTTTTTTTTTAATGGCATATTCTTTTTGGTTGTTTTGATTGGTGCCTGAAAAAGGTAATTTCGCAGCCTGCATTTCAAATACTTTTTTTCCCCACGTGTTATACAGCTACAATCCTTCTTCTTGTGTCACTCTGGCCTCTTCTTATCCTATTTGTAATTTCAGTTTCAAATTGAAACTCTCTATTTTAATATAACCCGATAAATGTTTGGCCTTGCTACAGGTCGTTTGCTGGACATCCTTCACACCAAGGGAGAGAGAGGCTATGTGGTTTTCTTAGAGAGCCTGGAATTTTACTATCCCGAACTCTACAAATTAGTGACGGGGAAGGAACCCACACGGCGTTTTTCCACTATTGTTGGTAAGTGGGGATTCTGTTGTTCCATGCCAAGCAATACAGCGGAAATCCTTTATAAATCCTTTCTTGGTTCTTTTTCACTTGGAACAGAGTCCAGGAAGAGAATTAGAAAAGTAGGATGCTGGTCTCTGGAGACTCTCAGTCATCTATGTCCTGATTGTCCCAAAGTTGTTTTTTCAAGAGGCAACTGGACCATCTTGTTTTTCTTTGAAGACGTTTTGCTTCTCATCCAAGAAGCTTCTTCAGCTCTGACTGGATGGTGGGGAATGGAAGGCCTCCACTTGGAGGTGAAATTAGCCTCAAGGACCATCTAAAAGAAGGCAAATGACCAGCTGTCTGCAAGGAATATAAATCCTTCCATTCCCCACCATCCAGTCAGAGCTGAAGAAGCTTCTAGGATGAGAAGAGAAACATCTTCAAAGAAAAACCAAGAAAGTCCAGTTGCCTCCTGAAAAAGCACCTTTGGGACAGTAGGATACTAGGTTTCGGAGACATCATGCAGGTAATCCTCAACGTTCAATCACAGTTGGGACAAGAATTTCCATTGCTAAGAAAAGCGATTGTTAAGTGAGTCACACCCAATTTTACAACATTTTTGCCACGGATGTTAACTGAATCCAGCTCCCCCCCCCATTGACTTTGTTTGTTGGAAGCCAGCTGGGAAGGTTAACAAATGGTGATCACATGACCCCAGGAGGCCACAACAGTCATCAGTGCAAGGACCCATTGTAAGTCCCTTTTTTCAGTGCCACGGTGACTTTGAATGACCACGAAAAGAATGGCCATAAATCGAGGACTACCTGTATTTGCAAACCTTAAAAAGAAGATCAAACTATTTCAATTAAGGATCTCCCTTAAGCTTAACCTTGTTCAGTCTGGGCTGATCTAGATCTGTTGGTCTACCGTTTTTTGGACCGGGGTATTTGGCCCCATCTCGATCAACTCAACGCTTTCTGCTGCTCACCTCCATTAACTTGTTGTGGTTGCTTATGTGGTGTTTTTTTTTTCTCTGTTCTCATCTCAGTAGAAGAGGGACACGAGGGTCTCACTCACTTTCTGATGAACGAGATCATCAAGCTGCAGCAGCAAGTCAAGACCAAGGACGCCCAGCGCTGCGAACTCTTGGCCAAATCTCGCCAGATGGAAGATGAAAGGAAGCAACTGAAGCTCAACAAGATTGAGCTGCTCACGTTCCAGGAGAGATACAACAAGATGAAAGAAGAGAGGAACAATTACAACGACGAGCTGATCAAAGTAAAGGATGAGAACTACAACTTGGCCATGAGGTACGCCCAGCTCAGCGAAGAGAAGAACATGGCCGTGATGAGAAGCCGAGACCTTCAGCTCCAGGTGAGAGGAAGTTCTTGAGAACATTGTGTCTCCCCTTTTGCATTAGGTGATCATTTCATTCGTGGTCTTTAGTCCATGTTTTTAACAAATCTCCACTGGTGGATTCATATATCAGCCCCAAACAAACAAAGCATGTTGTTATCCTTGAATGAACGAGTTGATAGATCATGTTTGAGGGCATCATGTAGGAGACAGTAGCAAGAAACCTGTGGCTCTCCAGATCTATGATGATGGTGGTGATGATGATGATGGTGTGGGGGGGGTGATGTTATCCATTCAGTCCTGTCTGACTCTTGGTGATTATATGGGCCAGGTCTCTCCACATCTTCTCTCCTGCACTAATTTTTTGAGTTGTTCTCCCCTCTGGCTGATGTCAGCTTTGATAGTGTCCAGCTAGCATGTTCTTTGACGGACTGGTTTCCTTTTACTGCTCACTCTTCCAAACATAATTGCTTTCTCCAGTGAATTCCCCCACATGACATGGCCATAATAAGTGACTCCAGATCCAACACAATCCCAGATCAACATAACCAATGGTTAGTGATCTTGAGAAATAGTGTTTAACAGCGACTGAATAGAATAGGTTGTTCTAGACTAGAAACAACATTTTTTTTTACAACTTGTGGACACTCAGACGGCTTGGATTTCAGCTCCTGGGAATTCTGAGAATTGTCACCTCCGTGCTTCTGGAGTATATCAGATTATGAAAGTTGACCTGGATAACTCTATGATGAAAAGCTTCATCTAGCTACTAATGGTATGCTTGGGGATCTCTCCTGCACTCTTAGCCCTGTTGAGTAATGCCTGAAATGGCTTTAAATTGACTCTGTTGTTTCTCCCGCTTGCTCTTCGCTAACAAAACTGTTGTCGGAGTCATTATTTCTGTCTCTGCAATATGTCTTATAGAAAATTAACCAGAGTCCTTCATTCTGGTTTGAAAGCGCCCAGGGCTGCTTGGGGAATTCGATCTGGAGACCATCTCAACAGATGGAATCGAGATTGTTTATGACACCATATGGAGCAAGGATTTCTTCTGAAGACAGGGTGTACTTGGTGATGGATACCTCTTTGTTTATCTTGGCTCTCTGTGGGGCTCACTTAGATTGATAAGCTGAAACATAAATTGAATAAAATGGAGGAAGAATGCAAGCTGGAGAGGAACCAGTCTCTGAAACTCAAAAATGATATCGAAAACCGGCCGAAGAAGGAACAAGTTTTGGAACTGGAGCACGAGAATGAGGTGCTGAAGACCAAAATTCAGGAGCTGCAGTCTATAATCCAGGTGAGTAATTTTTTTTTCTGGCTAATATCTGATTATCTAGGTTATATCTTTGCAACCTAGGATGGACAAATACAGGAACTGGGAAGGATGGGCAACCCCAACCCTAACCTTGATTTCTGCTGTTTGCAAGCTACGGTTGACCTGAGTACAGAGTTTTGCGAGAACTGGAAAGCTGGACAAGAATAGGAGAGAACCAGAATTATTGCTTTGCTTGGCAGGACTCACTAGATACTTCTTAAGGAAAAGAGATGGTCACATGCAGACCCCCTGCTGAGCTAGAAACAATCCCCCCACTGATCTGAGGCTCCAGAAGTTCAATGGCATCCTTGTTCTGCCATATTGTCACCGACAAGCCTTTTCACTCTCCCTTCTGCCAGCTGTCAGTCTTCCCAGGAGGTGCTTTGAAAATAATAATTTGGAAGATGGAAAATGTTAATCAGCTTGACTAACTTGAATTTAATCTCTGGTTGGATATAAAGCAACGGAGAAATAAAGCAGGAACTAATTGGAGCAGGAATTAGAAGGTCACCCGTGGGGGCCATAAAGGATGGGACGTTGTAACTTTAGAGGTTTCCTTGAGAGTAAGTCCCGCCTTCCTATTTAAAGATTGGATAGGTCTTCTGGACCCGTCTGTCTTCTGGGTTGGATCCAATTCCTATACGTCTGTGGAGATTCTCCATCATCCAAGGTCATTGTTGCCCCAAAGATGCTTTTCCAAAAGGCAACTGGACTTTCTTGGTTGTTGTTTTTTTCTCTGAAAACTTTTTGCTTCTCATCCAAGAAGCTTCTTCAGTTCCTTCAGAAGAAGAAGGTTGTTGGATGAAAAGTGAAATGTTTTCAAAGAAAAGAAAAAATCCAAGAAAGTCTAGTCACCTTTTGGAAAAGCACCTTTGGGAGATCCAGTTCCTACAATTTCTAGCTCAAGTGGCCTTTAGTTAAAGACTGTCCACTTAAGGACGGATCCTGAAGGAGATCCAATATTCCAAGCAGGCAATGATGGTGTGGTTGTTGCCGAGCCTAACTTTCTCTTTTTAATCTGTCCACATCACTCTTTCCCCTTCCGACTCAATCTCTACCTGTTCCTACTTCCTTACCACAGGCTGGGAAGCCAAGATTGCCAGATTCTGACAAAGCCATTTTGGATATCCTAGAACACGACCGCAAAGAAGCTCTTGAGGATCGCCAAGAGTTGGTCAATAAGATCTTTAATCTCCAGGAAGAGATCCGTCATGCAGAAGACCTCCGGGATAAGGTAAAATAGAAACCAAGAAGTAGAAAGAACAAAGAACGACAAACGGAAATTCAAAATTGTTCTTGATCTACCTCATTTAAAGTCTCATTCTGCTTATCTAGGCACTCTTTTGATTAATATTGTTTGGCTTATTTGGTTACACAAAAATCATCTGCATAATAGTATGCAGTGTCTTACATGCATATAGGATACCTCTGTGCAGGAGCATCTTCTCCAACTTTAGGGTTTAGGTTGCTTTGAAGGTCATAACCCATAGATTCAAAGTAACATCTTCTCAAACCCTCCTCCCTTTTGCAAGCAGTCACAGTGAAGCTGTTGCTTGCAGAGTGGAGTTCTGAGTTTGGGGCCAGGCTGGATCTTGACTGACGTCCTTGATGGACCACCATCTTCATATATTTCCTTGTAGTACCTTGAAGAGAAACAAGAATTGGAGTTAAAGTGCTCAACTCTGGGGAAAGACTGTGAGATGTACAAGCATCGCATGAATACGGTCATGCTACAGCTGGAAGAGGTGGAGAAGGAGAGAGACCAGGTGCTTGAAAATATGGTACCTGAGGAGCCTAGCCCTCTGGTAGCAGATGCTGGGGAGATGTGGGTGGTGGAACCCCATTGGCTATGTTCTATTGATCAAGCCAACTCCTTTTCATTCACACTCGTTAGCAAGTAATGTCTTTAAATGTGCACATACAAAATATATCAAAGAGCAAAATGCAACAAATCCCAGATATTAAAATGATTAATGCACATAGCCCTGGGATGGAATGTAGTTGGTTCAAACCATTTTATGGAAGGAGAGGTTCCCATCTGAAGGAAATGATGATCTTGAGTCCTTCAGCAGCTTTTTTGTGGTATTGAACTCTTGGTGTTGTTTTCCCTCCGGAGGCATTCCACTCCCGGGACGAGGCCCAAATACAGTATTCCCAATGCCTAATTGAGAAGGACAAACACCGGAAACAGATTCGGGAACTGGAGGAAAAAAACAACGACCTGCGGATCGAAATGGTCCGGAAGGAAGCGAGCATCATCAACCTGGAATGCAAACTCAGACGACTCTCAAAGGACAATGGTTATGACCAGGTAGCTCCCTCCACTGCTGTTGGGTTGTGTGTCCCAAGTCAGAAAAGGTCCAGTGAAGGTTGAGAAGGTTAAAGGCCCAGTTCTTGATCAGTGTCCTAGATGAAGTCAACTAATCAGTGGAACGACTTGCCTCCAGAAGTTGTGGGTGCTCCATCACTGGAGGTTTTCAAGAAAAGACTGGACAACCACTTGTCTGGAACAATATAGGTTCTTCTGCTTGAGCAGGGGCTTAGATTAGAAGACCTTCAAGGTCCCTTCCAACCCTATTATTCTATGTTCTACTTTCTAGATGGAACTTACCAGTTTTTAAAACCCTAGAAGAAAGAAGGTCTCAAATGGTGCCTTAAACGGTGAGTGACACTAAAGAGTCTACGACCTTTGGAGATCTGGGTTTTGGTTACCGGTTCTCCGTCTACTGAGGAGTTGGAGACTTCTCAGGGGACTTCTGTCGTTCAAGAAGGGGAACCTAGGTGGGGTCAAATCTTCTTCTAATTTGTAATTCCCGAAAGTCCATGGATCCATATGGGGCTGGGTGGCTGGGGGACAATCTTTGGATTAGACACTCAGTCCTTATGCATGGTTCAAACGGGTTTCCTGCAGAAGATTGGACTGCCTGGTCTGGATACCACTTTCCAACTCTACAAGTAATCCTCAACTTATAACCATTTGTTTAACTCCTGCCTTGGACTTGAAGACCTCCAAGTAACCTGTAGGTCCGTAGTGGTCCTTAGTCAGATTTCATGCACTTTGAATGTCCCCTTAAGAGTTTCATAAACTCTACCACATCTATTCCTCCTAAATCGTGTTTCCTTGATGTTTTGTTCTTAAACTCATAACTGTGCAATTACTTTTCCAACACACCAGTGTGATCTTAGACCATTGATGCTTCAATTCTGGAGGAGAGGCACCAAGTCACTGCTCACCATGGATGAAGTGTGGAAGATGTTTGGCCTGTGGGAATGTCAACATACATCCCCATTTCAGTTTGATTTCTGCTCTCTTTCAGCCTCCAAGAACAAAATCCCCCATCGGTACAAATCGGACATTTGATCTCCAAGGTCAGAGGAACGAAAACTCATGTTCTTGCATTTGTTGGCTTTTCAGAAGTCTCCTTAACACTTAAGTTCTTACCTTTGTTTCAAACTAACAGTTTCCAGTTTCCCAAAAGATTTTTTTAAAAAAATCCTTCCTCTTCCTGATAGTAAACACTTTCAAGCAGCACTTGAAATGGACAAGTGATTGGGTTCCCATAGTAGTTCCCATTCTTCTAGCTGGAAGGTTCCCATCAAAGCTGTAGATGGCCGAAATTCAGGTCTTCCTCCATTATGGGTATTTGAGACTCTTTTGTTGCACTTATAATAATCTTGCAGCAGAAAACAATCTTCCATAGGTCTTTTCTAACTTATCTATTCATGCAATCATATAGATCAGAGGTCCCCAGCCTTCTGGGCACCAGGGACCAGTTCCATGGAGAGAGGTTTTTCCGCGGACCAGAGGGTGTGTAGTTTTGTGTGCTACCTTCATCTTGCGGATGGGGCTTTGCTTGTTTGTGCAGACCGGTTGCTGGCATGCTGTGGCCCAGTACTGGTCCACGGACTGGGGGTTGGGGACCCATAATATAGATAGATCTTCTCCAGAAAGATCTATCCTCACGCGGTCCTTCAGGTCTTCCAATGGTGCCCCATCACCACAATAACTATCTCCATTCTTCTTGCTTTCATCTGTCCTCTTCTTCTCTTTCCTTCCACCTTTCCCAGCATCAGAAGCTTCTCCAGAGAGTTGGTTCTTCACCTAAGGTGTCCAAAGTGGGATAATCTGAGCCGGGTTATTTGTGCCTTGAGGGATAACTCGAGGGTGATTTGTTCAATCAGCCAATTGTTTTCTTGGCCTTCCTGGTTTTCTCCAACACCCAAAAACGAAGCGAAAGTTAAATAAAAAGTAACATTTAAATCTTTGGGGAAAATCTTACAATCTCGATTGAGTTACTGGGCAACAAGGAGAGAATCCTACAAGATACCAGCCATGTTTTTAATGCCTGAAAGAGGTTGCTGATAAACAGATTAAAGGCTTTATAAGAGGAGAAGGCAAGCAGAGCTAAAGAGCATCAGAAATAACTTTGGAAAAGAAGGTTTCATTTTCGGTGAATTCCACAAGGACTTGTATCTTGTGGCGCTCGGATATGTCTCAAATCCTCCATCTCTGAATTAAAAAAAAAAAAAAGAGGTACAGTAGATAAGGAAACGGGAGAGATTTCCTTGGTGATAGGAAAACATCAACAAAGCAAGGGTGAGGGACCCAATTACAGGTAGTCCTTAACGTACGATCCTAATGAGCCCATGGGGATGCTGCAATGGTCATAAGTATGAAAAATAGTCCTTGGGGGTGGAAGCTGGATTCAATTAATGACCGTGGCAAAAATGTTGTAAAATTGGGTGTGACTCACTTAACAATCGCTTTGCTTAGCAATGGAAATTCTTGTCCCTGCTTTGGTTGAACGTTGAGGATTACCTGCATGATGTCTCAGAAACCTAGTATCCTACTGTCCCAAAGGTGCTTTTTCAGGAGGCAACTGGACCCTTTTGTTTTTCTTTGAAGATGTTTCACTTCTCATCCAACGAGCTTCTTCAGCTCTGACTGGATGGCGGATGAAGGATTTATACTCCTTGTAGACAGCTGATCATTTGCATCCTTCTAGAGAGTCATTGAGGCCACTTTAGCTGTATCCTCAGGGTCACCTGAGTGGTGCAAATGGGTGTGGAGCCTTCTTGGCTACAGGATGTTTTCTGCCCTGTGTGCTTTCACTGTTGAAGACAGCCCAGGCTGTTGGGGATGAATCTGTCTGCATCTCAACACTACTCAGGTGACCCTGAGCACACAGGTAAACCTCCAAATGGCCTCAACGACTCTCTAAAAGGAGGCAAATCACCGGTGATCTGCAAGGAATCTAAATCCTTCCATCCTCCACCATCCAGTCAGAGCTGAAGAAGCTTCTTGGAGGAGAAGCGAAACGTCTTCAAAGAAAAATCAAGAAAGTCCAGTTGCCTCTTGAAAAAGCACCTTTGGGACAACCAGAGTCTGGATGACTGAGAATCCCCATAGACAACCAACTAGAAGAAGGTATTACAAGTCTTGTTCGCACAAAATGTTGCGTATGGCGCAACTTAAGGCCAACAGCTCCGTGGCTTGTCTTTCTCTCTGACTCTGTCCACTTTTGTCGTTTGATGATCCAGCCATTCAAGGCCATAATGAAGAGAAGATTGAGACCAGCCACAGACACTCTGAAGCGTCTTCTCAACCCATATCCATCGACAGCTCCACGGGCAGCTGCGAAGTTAGCAAAATTGTAAGGAATTTGATAGCCTGATCTTTACTTGTTACCCAATTATGGGGTTCCTTCTCCCTTTGTTTGCAACTCCAGAAATGGAAGGGTTCTTGTTTCCAACTTGCTGTGTAACTTCTTGAATATGCTTTTTTTTCCCCTGCATGAATGTTAACAGTTTGCTCTGTTTAACACACACACACATATGCACACAATTACTATCACCTTTCCAAATGCTAATTTGTACTTCCCTGAAGATATTCCCAGCAATCTTTCCCAGTTTTGTTTCCCTGTGAAAACAGGTTCACGAGGGGAAAAAAAACCAGCAAAGTTTTTGTTAGCTGGTTGAAACTGCAAAGGTTGGACATTTTTATTTAAAAGGAAGAAGGAAAGAAAGAAAAACATTTTAGACTTCTGACAGCTGTCTGTGAGGTTCCATTGGATGTGATTATGAGCTTAGCAGGAGCAATGAAGTAGAGAAAAAATGTGTTGATAAAAAAAGGGGGCTAGGTGAAGAATAAAAGACACTTTTCTAAGCAGGGGCTTCTAGCAGTGAAATGAACTATTTCTCACTTGGTTGTGTGACGACCTGAAGCCTTCTGGATTTCTGCTCTGAATGGGTGCTCTGAATTCGGGTATCTGCAGGGAGCTGGGTCAAAAACCTCAAGATGGCAGCTTTGACTCCAAATCAAAGCCCCGCCCAAGGCTTGGCAAGACTTAGGGGCACCCAGTCCAGACCAATGTTTCTTAACATTGGCAACTTTGAGATGAGTGGACTTCAACTCCCAGAATTCCCCAAGTAGCATGCTGAGTGCCTCTGATGGAATGTTTTCCGGATTCCCAAGAGGATGGAGGAGCATTCCAGAGGAGCAAGAGACAACACAGCCTAGATAGTTTGTGTGAAAGAAAAAGGGCGAAGATGGCTCCTCCCTAATAGTTCCCAGAGTATATGTTTTATGGTGCACGTCATCTGCTTTAGTTTGGCAAGATTGATGTCAGGTTCCAAAAACCAAGAAAGACACACTGAGGTCCTTCTAAGCAGATTTCTTTATTGTTCCTCGCCTGTAGACAGAACTCTTGCCAAACTAAAGCAAACAACTCGGACCATAAAAACCTATTCTGGGAACCATTGAGGAGGAGCTGTCTTCATCCTCTTTCTCCCACACAAAGTGTCTAATCTGTGTTGTCTCTTCCTCCTCTGGAATTCACTCCCTCTCTCCCAGGAATCTAGAAAAAAAAAATCCTTCACAATGACCGGCTTCCAAATATGCTTTCTTCCTCCAATGATTCTGTCCACTCCCTTTCTATTGATCCCTAACATCCATGATTTTTAAGTCAGCTTTCTCAATTTTGGACATAGCTGCCAAGATGAGCCTGCTTTATATCAACTTTCTGGATGGAGGAAAGATCTTGTGAATTCTTCTTGTAAGCACCACCAACAAAAGCTTTTGGAGAATCTATTACTGTTGTATAAGAGACATATTTGTCTACACTCATGGGGACAACTAGCTCAGTCTTTCTGCAAGAGCTCACACATGTTTGCAGACCGAAAGATTAGTGTCAACAGCAGGAGGGACACTTAAAATCACTCCCCAAAGTCTCGGTCCAGAAAAATCTATTTCTATGAATCAGCTCCACTCAGATTGCCTGCAGATAGGATGATAACCGAGGCCTCCACAAATATCGCACAGTTACTTTCATATATTTCTTTCCACAACGCTTTTAATTATACATGCCCCACATTTGCTTTTTGTATTTTCCAATTGATTTTTTTTCCCAGGGAGCCTTTTTTGGTGTGTGTTGTGATTGCTCAAATTGTTTTGATAGACTTGTTCCATTTCTTCGTCTGTTTGTAATGTTTGACAGCCTTGTCTGTTTGTTTTCCTTGCTCGGTGCTGCTGTAAGCTGTCTTAAGCTGCCTCTCTTGTAGACGGTGGAGCCTGGCAATCCTATTAAATAAATATAAATTAAAATAATCTCCCCCGTGTTCCAGGACGAACCTGGGAAACTGATTTCATGGCTTAAATTGAAGTCATTGGGGGAGAAGGAGGAAGGGGGGAAAAAACGCCCATTAGTTATTATGTAAATCACCGCTCGGAGATGAATAGACTGCCATATTCCACCGAACAGATACCATATCACAAGCTTGCCATTACAGCTGGAAAAAGAATCAAAATAGGAAGCTGTTGAAATATTCAACTCTGCCTAATGTGCAAACTGCACACAACTTGGTTGCAGTGGAAATAGCTACCGTATCACTTTATGTTTGGGCTTCTTGCAGATATATTTAGAATTCATTTATGCCTCCGTGTTCCTCCATACATTCATGCCCATGTTCGCCGACCCCCTTTCGCTCCATATGATTACTTCCCTACTTCCCTTATAAAATGGGTTATCAGCTTTTCATTATAGCCACCCTCCTAAATTCTATTCCTAATTCTGAATAGAATTAAAGGACTCGGTGGATGAAAACCATAACAGTGGGACAACTGTCAGGCTCCCCGGAAACCAAGAAAGGCAGACTGCAATTCTTCTGAGCAGATTTCTTTATTGTTCCTCACCTTCAAGCAGAAACCTTACCAAAGTAAAGCAGACTATTGCCCCATAAAACATATACTGTGAGAACCACTGAGGAGGAGCTGTCTTCACCCTCTTTCTCCCACGGAAACTATCTCATCTGTGTTGTCTCTTGCTCCACTGGAATACAGCCCCTCCCTTCCCTCCCTCCTGGGAATCCAGACCACAATCCATGACAGCAAGAGAATGAGGTGTTAAAGCTAGTAGATGCAGAAGTATGATGTGTTTACAAGCAAGCGTGTTTTCCACTGAGGCAAGAAACTCACAAAGATGGGCAGGATTGCACCACTGATGGCTTGTCTTCATTTCTTTTCTTGGCCTTTCCTTCTGAAATCCAGCAAACCCTGAGATATCGCTGCGCCAGCATTATGTCCACCACTCCGGAGCCTCCAGGAAATGATTCCATTCTCCGAAGGAACAAAGATGTCCCTCACTCAAGGTAAATGTCCCTGGGCCAACTGGGAAGAAAGGAAGGGGCCTGGACAAGGAAAGTTGGACAAAAACTAAAATATTGGGGGAATAGAGTTAGTTCAAGGTCTAGAAGATTGTCCCACTAAATGCATTTTCATAATGGTGACCACTGGAAGGAATAATGATACTTCCTAAGGAGGAGCAGTGATGGGCTCTCTCTCAATGAAGGAACCATCTCGCACATCCATCATTGGGAGAGGACAGGAAGAAGTTAGAGCAGTGTTTGTCAACCTCAGCCACTTTAAGATGTAAGGTCTATGGATTTGAACTCACAGGATTTCCAGAGAAGAACCCACGTTAACCTACAATCCCGTCATTCTGAGCACTTCCAAGGAAAAATAGAAAAGGATATCCCCCCTCATTCCTCTAGGACAGTGGTTCTCAACCTATGGGTCGCGACCCCATTTGGGGTCGATCGACCATTTCATGGGGGTCGCCAAGCAAGGCTGTCTGCCATTTTTTTCCCCCTTTTCCGGCAGGTGCCTTACCTCCCTTGGGCTGGGCCAGCTGGTGGTCAGCCTGCTCCGTCTCTGCCGCTTGCCAGCTATGCCTCGGCCAGCGCAGGGGGCAGAACCACGCATGCGCGGCGCTCCCGGGCAGGGAAAGTCCTCGACTTACGACCGGTTGGGTAGTCCTCAACTTATGACCGGTTTAGTCCTCGACATACGACTGGTTGGGGGTCACGGCATTAAAAAGATTGAGAACCACTGCTCTAGGATAATGAGGATAGATTAGCATATTTCGGGAAAGGGAGGGTCTAAATCAGGGATGGGTGACTATGGCCCCTTTATGATCTGTGGACTTCAACTCCCAGAATTCCTGAGCCAGCCATTTTGGCTGGCTCAGGAATTCTGGGAGTTGAAGTCCACCGCTTGTAAAAAGAATTCTGGGAGTTGAAGTCCACAGCTTGTAAAAGGAATTCTGGGAGTTGAAGTCCACAGCTTGTAAATTTAGAACACAGTTGCCTGCTGCTGTCCTCAATAAAGAATCAGGTTTGCATTTGGCATTTGTAGCCTAATATAGTTGCTGGAACCCCATACAACTCATTTCAGGGAAAAGTAAGAGAAATAAATGTTGAGGGCATATCGGTACATGCCAAAAACAGGGATGACCCTTGCCAAGGTTTGTTTAGAGTCACCATTATATATGGGGGTTCTCTCGCCTTTCTTTTTCTTACCTCTGTACAATCTCTTCTCCGCGTATCGACGGTACCGTCATTCTACTTTTGAGTCATCGTCTCTTTCCAGGGTTCTCTCTAAAATCGATGGACTCCAGGTCAAGTACTTGGGTTACGTACATAAACCAGCCAGATTTTATCCTCCAGGCAGACAATTGTTGAGCCCTATTTCCCTGGATCCTTTCTCCAACTCAATTCCTACCTCCAGAAACTATCTCGGTCTGATTGAGGAGAAACTCAGATGCAAGATGACATTGTGCCATTTCTCCACTCTTGCCCTGAAGGCAATTACAACCTTTCTCAGTTCCATTACCTTGAGCCAATTTAAAATCCCTGCCGCTGATGTTAAACTTTCTTTTTTTAAAAAAAAAAATAAAAATCAAGAAATTCAATCACAAGTATCTTGGGTGAAGTTTTATAACCAGGAGGATGACACAGGAGAGGGTTACCATGCTCGGCCCATTCTAGCCGGTAGGTAACTATGGTGTGCTGTCAAATGTGTGTAGAGATTGTATGTTTTAATCATCCCAAATGAAAATATGCCGTGGAAACTGCTTTCCCCCCGATCGTGAAAGAGGAAAACATTTATTATATGATTTTATTGATGGTATAACGTGATCCAAGGCAGGCGTTATCATTTATTCAATGTTCTCCTACCTCTGTCGAGCGTTCCTTGATCTGATTTACTGGGACAATTTTAAGAGCTGAATTTCTTACAACTGCAGGTAACATTCATCTGATGTTTGGAAATAAAAAAGCAGCCAGTTTCAGGTGGCCATGACTGGAAGAGAGCATCGAACGTGTTGGTAGATAATCCTCAATTCCTACAGTGGAGAAGAGATCCATCTTCTCCGTAGGAAGTTATGATCCCTGCAGGAGCCATTCCAAGTACAAAAAGTGAACCCGGAAAGATTTATATACCTTCCTTCTCCTTGGCTGTTCGTCTCCTTCCAATCACAGCCTCCAGAAGCTTCTTTTCCTTTCAAAAATTGGGAGCGTTGTGTGTAACATGTAGTTCGCTCCTGCCCCCAACGTCATAAAGGAAGTGGTTGCTCAACAGGCCACTTCATATTTTTTTTCCTAGGTGTTGTCCATTCTTCTCTTGCAATGCTAGAAAATATAGTGCAGGTGCTAACATTAGCAAAAGGACACAGACCACACACACAAACACACACAGAGACACACCCTTGCGGCAGAGGCACACAGAAGAATGTGGAAGAAAATGTTCAAATGGGTTTGCTTGAATTTGGTAAAGCAATCAGTGCCATTTGACTGTTGCAATCACCTGAAAACCTTTCTCATTTGGAATAATAATAGTGATAATAACAGCAACGTAGCTCCAAAATAATATTAGGGCCATCTGTGCAGCAAATTGTCATATTTCAAAGGCAAGACTTGGAAATGATAAGAATAGCCGAATCTTCTTCTTTGGAGAGCATCATAACTCCTTCCCAGGGCCAGATGTCTCCTTTTCTTTGGAAACATTTTGTGGTCCAGTTGTGTCCCAGCCATGGTGCCATCTTTTCCAATCTTGTCTCTTTCCTTTCACCTACCCATCTGTCTCTCTTGGCATCTGTTCCCTCTTCCGTGGCCACTTCTGGCCACCACTTCCTACATCAGAGATGTTCTGACTCCAAGATTTGGGCTACCTGCTGAGGGATATTAAGATGTCCAAATGAGACATCATGGAGAGACAGAGAGAGAAAGAGAGACCAATATGTATTTCTTTATTCCAGTTTGACCGAAGATGATGACAGTTTTGGCTGTGATGCTCTGGAATTAGAAGGTAAGAAATTTTTAAAGACCAGTATTCTGAGAAACATCATCTGATGGACAGAGATGATCTTCTTACTTAGACCTCCCGGTACTTTATGTAGAATCTCTGCTTGAAAGGCGGCCCAATTTAAAGATAAAGACCTATTAGAAGAATAACAAATTGTCCATCCACAGTTCTACCTGGACTGAGTAAGCAGGCTATTCCTAGTCACTTAGGACATCTTTACGTAGGCTTTTTGGCAACAGTAGAGGACTAGTGTGCCATTTGCTTTCTTCCGAAAGGTCTTTCAACATCTGAACTCAGTCAAGGTCAGTCAGAAAAGTCCATGAGAAGGTCAACCTGATCTGGAAAGTCTCCTTACCATTTTTTCTGAACCCAAAGATAATTCATCCAGACAAATACTTCAAGTCCTGTCTATATTTCAGTCCAATTTTACTCCTGTCGCCCTTTCTTTAAGAAGGATATTTTTTCCTTCCATATCCATCTGTTTCATGAATTTATTTATTCCACACTTCCTTTTCCAGATGATATTCCTGACAGGTATTCCTCACTACCTTCCTCCTCATCCTCCCACCACTCTGAAGGGCTGGACCTGGAACAAGTCAATTCCATTTTCAGGAAATTCTCTCTGGAAAGGTATGGTGGAGAAGGTTGGCTGGAGGTGCAACCACTGTTTTACTTCTAGTCTGTTTTAGATACTCAGCAAAATGGAATTGTAACACTGCTTTTTCTTGGATTGTGCCATTGCTGGGGGGGTTACTGTAGAATGCACTGGAAGGGCTGTCACATAGGGAACGTGGTACCCCTCCTGATATTATCAGTGGTAGCATCCAGAAAAAACGTTCTTTAATTCTTCTGAAGAATAAATCAGTTCACATAAATTCATGTTAGATCAGAAAGATAGAGAGAAATAAAGCTCGGAGGGTAGAGAACTGAAATGATTTGCAAGTTCCTGGTGCTGGTATTCAAGCTAAATTTTGAAAGGTCATAAAGCTTTTTTTTTTTTTTGCACACTCTAGATATTTCAGAAGTCTGTTGCCATTGTTTCATTTCCTGCTTTATGTATCTTGAGCCTGAGTTCCTATTAATACTGTGCCAAGCTCTACTTGCGATTTCGCCAACTTTTTTTTTGTTCCTACCTCAAGTTCCAGCTACTTAGGAAGTTCTTCTGAATTTCTCTTGTGGCACTTTTTGAAGCAAAAAGACCCATGACTGGAGGTGTCCCCAAGAGCAGCAGCTGGTGTAGTTTCCAGTCCCATATCTTTCTAAATCTCCCGCTGCCTCTCTTGACTTTGGCAAAAGACTCTCAGATGCAACTTGGTTAGACGAGACGCATCATTGCAGTCAAGAATGAAACTGTGAACATAGCAGATGGATTGTAGGTTGCTTGTGAAGAAGCCATAGCCTTCGTCCATAGCTACGTTCCAGAATTTAATGCCTTGAATTTTTCCTCCTACTCTTCTGAATGAACAAATACTTGGCTAACCTCTTGATGGCCTTGCCAGGCATCTGAGATACATGGATGCAACTGTTCTTTTTAGCCTAGGAACTGCTGGTTCCCCCTTCACCAATCTCAGCCCTTTCTCTGGGCGATCTGAGAAGCCAAGAGGAATTTGCCCCTCTTTTGTTGACACAGGCCCTTCCGTCCCTCGGTGACTGCGGTTGGACGCCTCCACAATGTCTTCCATGCCGTCCAGCAAGTAGTCGTCAACGGGGACACTCTGAGCTCAGAGATCAGTTTGCTGGGAGGGAACATCAAAGGAAGCTTTGTCCATTCAGTGAAGGTCAACTCCACAGCAGAGAAAGCTGGCCTCCGGGAAGGGTACCAACTGCTTCTGGTGAGGCCTCCATATTTTCTAGTCATCCCCACAAACATCCCTAAGGATGGCCCTTTGCATTTCTTTGAAGTGATGAATGAGTGAGCTCTTCTTATTTTTCTTCCTTGCTTGCTGTAACCAAGGTCTATGTTGCCTGGGGCAGAGTTTTTAACTTAAAAAAAAAACACCTTTAAAGGAAGGCTCATATTGGAGGCATCAGCCATCTCTTCATTCTATGCCCTTCAAGAAAAAAAAAATCTATACAACCAAATCACATTATGCTGTTATTGAAGACCAGGGTGGGTGGAGATGATAGCTGTGTAATTTAGTAAGTAGAATTAATTGCCTGGAGGGAGAATAAAGCTGTGTTCCTATCAACAGGTGGAGGGCTGCATCCGAGGAGAAAATATGAGTGTTCCCCTGGATACTTGCACAAAGGAAGAAATTCACTGGACGATTCAGAGATGCAGTGGGCCAGTTACGTTGCACTGCAAACCAAATCATGAGGGTGAGATACCGTGCTTTTAAACCTTCGGACAAGTAGGCCTATTTATCTTTAGGATCTGGGGGCTGGATAAAGGGACAGGAAAATTGGTTTTTGAAAGCCAAAATGATCCATTACAATTTTTTAAAAAAATAAAATAAAACCAAGTTCTTGTTTATTTTCATGATCGCCCCTAAAAGTTGGAGATGCAGAGTTGGTAGCAGAGATGTTTTCTAGAGTTGATACCTCAGCCCCAAATTCAGAATTGTATAATGGGAAATTTGATGTTTCCTAGAACCAAGGAGAAATTTTCTGACAGGGACAACAATTAATCAGTGGAACAGCTTGCCTCCAGAAGCTGTGAGTGCTCCAAGACTGGAGGTTTTTAAGTAGAGCTTGGACAATATAGGGTCTCCTGCTTGAGCAGGGGGTTGGACTAGACCTCCAAGGTCCCTTCCAGCTCTGTTATTCTGATGCTGAGTTGACAAGATGGATGGGCACTATTGTACCGGTGGAACAATCACAGTAGGAATTCAATCGGTGTTTCTCAATCCTGGCAAATTTTAAGATGGTGACACTCCTACCCAACATGGGGGACCCAAGGACCAAGGAGTTTCTTCATTTCATGGAACCGGTTGTGGGTGGGTTCCTTCCCCTCTAGGTTATCGGACACTGCTTTCAGAAATGGAAGAAGGTCTGATCACCTCCGGAGACTCCTTCTACATCCGTCTGAACCTCAGCATCTCCAGCCACCTGGACTGCTGCTCCCTCTCAGTGAAATGTGACGAAATCTTGCACGTCCTTGACACCATGTACCAGGGGAAATGTGAGTGGTTTTGTGCCAGAGTCCATCCCGTCACAAACAAAGATGAGGAAACGGGAACGGTCCCCAATTACAGCAGGTGAGTGTCCCCATCCCGGGCACAGGGAAGCTCCGAGGGGCAGGGGGTGCACATGGGATAGGGGCTCAAAACTCAAGATACCAGCCACAATGACATGTTACGGGAAGCTGGTATACTACAAACCCGAACACCAGCCTCCAAGATTGTCTGTGTGGCAATCTTTGGATGCCAATGAGATGAGGCTGAAGCCAAGACTCGTGCAGGAGATGTGACCCACATAGGAAAAAGAGGAAAGGCTTGCCTTGCATGTTTGTGGTGGCCACCTTCACTTTTTGGACCTCCCTGTGGATGCCTTGTTGCCTCCATGACAATGAGGTTCTCCTGGCAGATTTCTTAGGGTACTCCAAGGGTTTAAATTTGGGCAAATATTGTCCATCCCACGGCATTGTAGGCAGGCTAGTTCTTCTTTCTTTATAATAGGGCTGCCTGGAGCTTGGTCCAAACTGCTTGGCCATCCAAAGGGAGGAAGAAGGGCGTCAGCTGAGGATGGTCATGCTGGATGCCTTCCTTGGCACCACCTCTGATCCTTCCCAACTCTCCTTTGCAGAGCCCAGCAGCTGCTTCTAGTAAAACTCCAGCGACTTATGAACAGAGGAAGCAAAGAAGATACAGACAATGTCTATGGGATATCACGAGTAAGTTCTCCCTGGCTTGGGATGGTTGTCCTCTTCACCCATCATTCTTCCATCCCTTTGTGAGCAGTTTTGGGCAGTTTTGTCTCTTGGGTCATTCCCATCCATTCTAAAAGAGGTATTCTGTCTACATTCATTATGGGTGGTGGACTTTGCTCTCATTAAGCCAACTTTCTGCATCTTGAGGGCCTTCAAGTATGGTGAGCCCCTCTTCTCAACATTCCTACTTCTACAGCCCATAAATTCATTTTGGCTTTATGGGATTCTGACCTACATATCATCATCATCATCATCATCATCATCTTCTTCTTCTTCTTCTTCTTCTTCTTCTTCTTCTTCTTCTTCTTCTTCTTCTTCTTCTTCTTCTTCTTCTTCTTCTTCTTCTTCTTCTTCTTCTTCTTCTTCTTCTTCTTCTTCTTCTTCTTCTTCCTCCTCCTCCTCCTCCTCCTCCTTCTTCTACCTTCTTCCTCCTCCTTCCTCCTCCTTCCTCCTCTACTTCCTTCTTCCCTCTTTCTTCTTCCTTCTTCTCTTTGTTGCTCTTAGACTACGCTGCAACCAGATGAACTTGCATCTCCCAGTGAATCCAAAACAAGCCCTCGTCTCTCCAGAGCCAGTTTCCTTTTGGGCCAGATCTTGCAGGTAACAACAACAACAACAATCAGGGGTCCCAGAGTCAAATTAAAAGAGTAGGTCTAGCTCTCTGATTGCCAGCCTTACTAGGTCCAGACCAGACAGGAAACACAGCCTTGACTCACCCCTTGACCCAACCTGAATCTCCACTTCCAGTTTGTCAGCAGGTCCGAAAACAAATACAAGCGCATGAATAGCAGTGAACGGGTGCGCATCGTCACTTCGAAAGACAGCCGGGTGAAATCGGAAGTGCATCCGGTGACAAAGGCTCTCCTCGAAAGATTTGAAGGTGAAGTGATTTGGGGGGTGAAGTGGGGGGAACCTCTTTTTCTTAGATTGCAAAGCTGAAGGACTAATCGCCCAATGAGGTTGTCCCTTAACACCTTGAACCTGGCCTGGAACCATGCCAGCAGGGTGATCCCAGGGGTTTTCTAGCCAAGTTGTCTTCATTCATCAAAGTAACATCCGATCTCTGGTTCTCCGGTGTTCGTTTGATGGAATCAGCCTTTCGTTGGGCTGCCCACTCATTCTAGGATGGCTTACAGTGGCGTAAATCTTCTTCCTCCAGAGTTTGATTCCGTGACGGAGATCAATAAGAGCTTCAGTCTGATCCCGTACAGCTTGGTGAAGCCCACCCACTGTGACTGCCGGCGTCCCGTCCTCTTCAGCCCAACGATGCTTGCCAAGACCTTGGTCCAAAAGCTTCTCAACTCGGGAGGAGCCCTGGAGTTCAACTTATGCAAACCAGGTAATCCTGGGGTCCTTGTCTAAAGCCAATCTGTCTTCTTCTAACTCGATGTTTCCCAAACCTGGCAACTTTAAGATACTGTATGTAAACTTCGACTCCCAGAATTCCCCAGAAATCAGAAGCATATTTTTTTCTATTTTTCATTTTTGCTTCTTTCTTTTCCCCTTTTGCTTTCCTTCCTTCCTTCCTTCCTTCTTCCTTCCTTCCTTCCTTCCTTCCCTCCTTCCTTCCTTCTCTCCCTCCCTCCCTCCCTCCCTCCCTCTCTCCCTTCCTTCCTTCCTTCCCAACTCTGGAGGAGCCCTGGAGTTTAACTCATGCAAACCAGATAAACCAGGGTCTCCTAATTGAGCAGGGGTTGGACTAGAAGACCTCAAGCTCCCTTCCAGCTCTGTTCTGATTGATTAATTGTGGTTAAGTAACAAATTGTCCATGCCAACTGATCTGAGGAAGACAGCAAGGGATGTGCGTTGGTGTGGTTACGTCTCCCTGTTGTGAAAGGGGCTAAATACAGTCTTAATACTGGGAAGAAGCCTTGTGAACTGGCCATTATCTCCCTGTTTTCTTTCTAAAAGTCCCAGAAATGTATTTCTGCTTGCTGCTAAGGAGAGGCTGCTGAAAAGAAAAGCCTTTGCTCTGATCCAATTCCTGTGTGATTACTGCCTTTTTATATTTTGCCGTTTATCCAGCCCCTTGCAGGTCTTGTACGCCTCTTTGTTGAAAGGCTGTCTCTCCAAAGAATCTTGACACCACAACACGGGCTAGCAATTACACAGACGNGAAATGTATTTCTGCTTGCTGCTAAGGAGAGGCTGCTGAAAAGAAAAGCCTTTGCTCTGATCCAATTCCTGTGTGATTACTGCCTTTTTATATTTTGCCGTTTATCCAGCCCCTTGCAGGTCTTGTACGCCTCTTTGTTGAAAGGCTGTCTCTCCAAAGAATCTTGACACCACAACACGGGCTAGCAATTACACAGACGGCGCTTCTTCTTCCCAACCTGTCCCGGCATACCTTGTTCCTTGAAATAGGTCATGCTTAAGTTCACCAGATTTAACTAGCTCCAGGATAAACACCTTCTCCGCCAGCTAAAGCCTGCGGCTGCCGAATCCAAGGATAATAGGCATGGCGATCGTTTGTCTTGTGTTTTTGTCCATGGAGTCCTATTCCTGCCACTTGTGGCCGGGCCTGCCTGCCTCCCCTCCTCTGCCCCCCCTTGTTGCAGGGGACCTTTTGTTGGTAGGGATCAGGGGAAACGGTGACCCACATGCCCTCTGGCTCCAAAACAGTTCTAATTTCGTTCTTGCAATTGAGAAGGCACTGGAAATATCGCTCGGGAGACATGGTGTCAGGCCTGCCCCAATCGGATCCCTTAGGAAAGAGAGACCCTCGACTCCATTGGGTTGAAGCAAAAGAGGTTGACTGCAGTAAAGTCAGGCTAGCTCTGAATTTCGCCCGCTCAAAAGATACAGAAAGGCTTTTACCCACATCCCCTCGTTTTAATTTTTCAATTAAGCATAGAACAGTCTCAAAGTGATCCAGATTTGCTCCCTTATGGGTTTTCTTTTCTTTTTTGGTGCAAAAATGAGGGAAAAAAGGATTTTCTGATTGATGGCTTTAATGATTAAACAGGATAGATTATAAAAAGGAGAGAGTTATGATGTAATTTTAGAGAGAAAGGTTAGGATATAATCGTGCTTATAACTGTTGTGAAGAATATTGGAAGTTGCTTGTTTATATCTTAAAATCTTTCTCTTTTTTCCCATTTATTGTACTTTTAGCTTTTTCTGTTGTTTCTCTCTGTTCCAATTTGGCTTATATTAGGTCTTATTATTGTTCTTAAAACTTTTAATAAAGATATATAGATGAGAGAGAGAGAGAGAGAGAGAGAGAGAGAGAGAGAGAGAGAGAGAGAGAGAGAGAGAGAGAGAGAGAGAGAGAGAGAGAGAGAGAGAGAGAGAG